AAAAAAAAAAAAAAAAAATCCACTAATCTACTATTAATAACAGAAAAAAAAAAAAAATTAAATAAAAATCACCATGCCAAGTGGTAGAAAAACACACACCCAGTCCTGTATCACTTAGGCTAAACCTCGTCTTATTTATTCATTTTAAACTCACCTAATGAAACACTTTTTTTTTATATATCCATTACTTTGATCGTAAAGACACGAGTGACTCGTAAAAAAAAAAATGAGGGAAACGAAAATAAACGCACTAGGCGGGTGCAATAGCCTATATCATTGACAGGAGGCGTACGAAAGAGAACTGATCTATCCGAAGCTCGTATACTTACTGTACGTATAGTACGATATATACACCCACATCTACAAATGCAAAAATACACACTCTCATGCTTGCCCCTACGTTTGTACGTTAAAAGCTACGAGGGTGCGATATGGGGGATGAAGGGTGTGAGTATGCGTGGTCCGATAATATTGATCGAACCACGGAATACAGCTCGTGTTTTAGTTTGAGTGTATCATTATTATTATTGTGCCTATGTGTAAAAAATTGGTATTTTCATTTTTTCTTGTTTTTTTTTTTTTTTTTTTTTTTTTGCTTGCTTTTTAAAATCTTAGTTTTTCTCAATTTATTCTCTCGTGGTGAAAATAGAACTTTTATGCTGCCAAGGACGGCTGTTTTTCAGTTTTTTACATCAACAATTTTGTTTTTGTTGATTTTATTTCAATAATACGTTGTACACTTACATACGTAGCTAAATACGATTTTATTGCATGTTTTATAGTAGAAAAAAAATTAGTCGTTACTCTACGAAATTTTCCCAGGAATGTACGATAAAGATAATTTTAACCAAATGAAAATTGGGCTTTATTTATTTATTTAACAAAGTATAAAAGAATACAGTTTTTTAAATTAGTTTTCTTACTTATTTTTCATGTCGAATTTCCAACAGAAGAGATTATTTTCCGAATTCTCAATTAATTGTTTATTCCGTGTTGATGGTAAAAAAGGACGAACATAATGTTTTTTAACAAAAAACTGTAGACCGACGTAAAAATAATACTATGTCAATTTTAATTTAATAACAAAAAAACATAGGTACTAACTGATTTAATAAAAAGCACTTAAAAATTTTGTAAGATAATTNTCTGCTCAGTAAATCGGATGCAAGTTGGCCAAAAAAGAAAAAAATTATTATTTTTAAGAGGAAAAATTACCATGCTGGAACAGTAAACCTTAAAAGCCTTGGTTAATAAATTTTACATTTCCGCATCGAAATTTTTACTGTTCTAAACACAACTTTTACTTTTCGAACCATAATTTAAAGGATAAAACAAAAATTTTTACTGTTAAAAAAAAAAAAAGACTTTTTGCTGTTTTCCAGCTAGCATTCGATTTATTGTGCAAAATGATAATTTTGGCTGAAATTTCTCTATAATTTTTATTTTTTTTTTCTCTCGCAGTGTGGTAATAGGGTACTCTTATAACGTAATTATGCGAAAAAAAAAAGAAAAAAAAAAAAACAAACAAACCTTGAGCCTGAGAGCAGTGTACATGGGCTCGCTGAGGAACGTGTACTCGCCGCGTATCTTTTCCCTGTACTCGGCATAAGTGCCCGGATCAGAGCCAAGCACCGCCATGTCCAAATCCAGTAGATAATGCGCATCTTCGCCGCCAAACGCCCCGTCGATTTTATGGGCCTCGGTGCTGTGCGTCGTTGCGGCCTGCAGCAATGCCTGGGTTTCCGCCAGGAGCTCCGAGTCCTTGAATAATATTCGATTGGGGTTTGTATGTTTTTTTTTTAATAAAATATTATTTCTTTATCGCTTTTTAGGTGCATTGGTAAAGCGTGTTTTTATCGATTTTTTTTTTATTTTTTTTTTTTTTCATTCATTGAAAGTATAATCAAGAGCCGACGTTAATCTTACTTCGGTCTTTTTTTGGAATGGATGCAATGACAGGGGTTTATTGTATTAACGAGTGATTCATGATGATATACCGAGCCTCTCTATGATGGAATTGGTAAAAGTGACAANTGAAATTTTTTTTTTTTTTTTTATTTCAGTATTAGAAATCAGTAATTTTTTTGAATACTTTTTTTTCGAGTCTTTTTTCCAATTTACAAGGTGATACGTCTTTTGGAGAGCTGTCCTTACATACGACTTCTACATTAACAAAAAACTTGGACCAAAAAGTTTATATGATTTTAAACAAATTATTAGTACTTGAAAGAAATATTATTCATCGAACTGCATTCGAAGATATCAATTAAAACATGATTAAATAATTAATTAGCCCATTTTAAATGCATGTAAATAAAAGAGCATCGTTTGCTGCTTGAGCACGTTGAACCTGTGCAGAAGAACATATTTTAATATTGGTGAAAAATCAAGGTTAATAAGTATTTCAATTAAAGAATTCATTCGTTTAAAACATCAGAGTAAGGGTTAAAACTTTTTTCAGTTTTTTTGAGAAAAAAAATGTCTTACGCATTATTTTTAAGCTTATTATAAATATTTCACCAGTAATTTACAATGTATATTAGCAACTTAAACGCGATGTCATCGATAGGTCACTCAGTTCAATAGAGCCTCCTTTAAAATTAATTTTTACTCTGATTCGAGAAGATTTTTACTTTTTTTTATAAATCAAAAAATAATCATCTTCCTTGGAATGACAAGTGCGTGTCGTTAAATCAAGCCACTGTTTTTCTTCCACCAATGCGAAAGAAGAACGATTTCATTTGTCACTATTTTACATGACAAAAATATTTTTTTTTTAAATTGTCCGTAAAATTTAAAAACAACGTAGTGTATGTATATTTACAGGTGGTATGCCAGCTTCGACGGCGAAAGCGTTGAAGTGTTCGAGGTTCTTGTTCTCCCCGTCCAGCGCCTTGGGATCGTACTCGAGACTGCAAAAGTAAACCCAATCAAGAGTAGCGATATTTTCTCACCCCCTGTATACGCCTCTCTCTCTCCTTCACTCACTTTTGAAAAATTATCGCCAACAGTACCGCCCTCGGGTTTTTCAAGTTGTCGCGCACATCGGCGTACCGCTCGATTTTCGCGCTCAAAGAGCCGATATTGTGGTACGTGCGTTTGGGATCGGAGTAACCCTCCTGTACACGGCCCAGCCAGGCGTCACAGACCTCGGCATCGAGGCCGGCCGTCACCTCGCGCCAGCTCTCTTCGATTACTGACATTTTCTTTTTTTTTTTTTTTTTTTTTTTCTTTTTTTTCTGAAAAACAAGAAATTCATTTAGTTGGACATTCCATCGGAGGAGCCTTCGCTCGTGGTGAGTGAATTTTTTATTCTTATGAATTCAATATTGGTTGTTTATTACTATCCCGTTTATAATAAGCAGGTCCGATCGATATGCGTTCGGATTTTTTGAAATTAAATTAGGTGCGATTTTTAATCCGTGAACTTTCTAAGGCTTCTTTTTAGAGTATATACTATATGGTTTTATATTAAAAAATCACGTTTGTATTTTTTTCTTTTGCAGCTCTACTGTCCGGTACTTATAG